AACAGGAAGTGACCAGAAAGTGAAAAATATGTGAAAACACTCCTCTTCACATACCATTTACCAATACCAAATCACATTTTGATACACCTTATGGTCTAGAAGATATATTCGTTGACACCCGGTATACACCTCATCAGGACAGAATGCTATTTTTCCCTAGGCTTTGCCCTCGAGCTACAAATCGCACCTTGGAAAAAATCTTGCATTTCTGTCCCTTGATGTATAATGTACTATTTTGTTGCGAAAAAAACTCACTCAATATTTCTGGAAATACTATTTCTACTATGTCTCTTTCCGAAAGTCTCAGGAAACACAAATATGAAAAAGTTTGGGAGGGGGGGGGGGATAAAGGAGCCTATACCCCTAAAAATGTAGCACCCTGTAGATTTCGAAGATGTTTGGTATGCTCTAAATGAAGATCTTCCAAGAAGTATTGACCACACCCAATTTCAGATTGTTATCTCTAGAAGTGAGCAATACATTTCAATAGATGAAAAATAATTTAATTTTGACCCCTTGTAGCTCCGCAACTGATCGAGATAGGACCCATGTTTCATACACTTTTTAGATTAAAATATGATCTATCACCAATTTCAGTTTGTACCTTGAAACCTGAATCATCCTGAATCATCCTGTATAATGTGTATGTAGTATTACCAAGAGTTCATCCCACGAAGGATCAAGAACAACTCCAGTATCTACCTTCTCGAATAACTTTCAACTGGCACTGAAGTTCAGTAAATTCAGCGAAATATTCAGTGCATCCTACCTAATAATTCAACAACACTCGCTCAGTCATTATCACTAACATCACGTGATGTTGCACCATTTTTGGTATCAGACACTGGAATATTATGCTAAGAATTCTTAGGGAATGTGTTGTCTGTCTTTTTTGTTGATAGTATATTCCCAAGATTTTATAACAAATAAAGGATCAAAAACAACTAAAGCACCTACCTTCTCTTCCAAAATGGAAAAAACAACTTGCAACTGGCATTGAAGTTCAGTAGTTTCAGCTTAATATTCAGTGCACCCTACATAATAATTTACTAACACTCCTTTAGTCATTGTCACTAAATACATGACATGATCCAGAACCATTTTGGGTATCAGACACATGGAATATTATGCTTAGAATTCTGAGGATTCCTTCTTGTTAAGATCACAACACAAAACTAAGTGAATTATCATTATTATCTATCATGACTTTTACGAAATGTGCATCCGTCGAAGATATCAAGTTTATATTTCAACTGATTGGTTTATCGAAAGTTTTTAGACTATTTCTTTTATTAGATTAATTTAGATTATTGATTAATTCTTTGGATTAACATTTTTGGAAACGTCAGAATGGCAAAAAGCAAAAAAGGCAAATGCATAATAAATATAAGTAAAATGATACTGAAAAAATACATCTATACACAACAAACAGACATACCCGTGAGTCAACCTTCTTCTGATGTGTCAATATTAGTATAAAACTCCTCGACAATAGCTGCATCCATACTTACTATGAAAGATGAATTGCTAACTAACATACGAAATAACCTATTTACACTGACGATGTCTATCTCATCAGGTCTATAAGTTTCCATAGTAAACTCAGTTCATAGTATATTGTAAACAGTAAAAGTCATATAAAAATATAAAGTTTAGTAGGTAGAGCTAACACAAACGAACAGTATTAATTTTTTTTCAAAGTCACCTCATTATTTTTGATGAAATGTGATCACGACTATACCATTTCAAATGGAACGATTTCGTGATAAAGGTGTTACCTATAATAAGAGCTTGCCAATATTGTATAATACCTTATGACTCAATGCCAGTGTTCTGGTAATGATAATGAAATAACAACCGGTATCTTTAGACATAGAAATTGTTCACGCGATCGCTAATGACTTTTCATTTTGAAGAAATTACTGTGATTACACAGGAATCTGAATGCAATTATACAAAATAATGACAAATTTATGGTAGAAAGTTTGAACACATTATATGATATCGCACCTAATATACACCGACATATAGTGATGATATTTTTATAGGTAATAAAATGAGATTACAATTCACATCTCCACATATCATTGATGTTTCGAATACATCTCTTCGATATTCGAAGGTCACATTTCATCACCAACATACTGTACATTTTCCAAACTATCTGAACATTCATGCTTATAAAAACATTCAAGGACTGAATTGTACACGGAGTCGTGGAAGGGGCACCAAAATTAATAAAAAACCCTTCGAAATTCTTAGTTATAACTCGCAAATTCAAAATTTCGACTCATATCTCGGACTTTCATATCCAAAATTTCGAGTTATAATCAAGGACTGAATAAGAGATTGAATTGTACGAAGCCCTGATGGAAGGGACACCCAAATTTAAAGAAAAATCAAACCTCTTCAAAATTTTGAGTTTTTAACTCAGAAATTCAAAATTTCGACTCATATATTGTGATATCAATAAATTATTTAGCTTCGATTTCCATCTAGCTCCTTCTTCCCAAATATATGAAGAAGGATCATATCTTCACAAACGTACTGACCTAACTTGAGCTTAGCCCCGTTGGATTTTCTATCAAATGCTGTTTCTATCAAGTGTATTTTCTATCAAATATTTTTCCTATCAATTGTATTTTCTATCATTCATGTTTCTCTCAAGTGTATTTTCTATCATAAAACATTCGATCAAATGCATTTCTATCAAAAACACTTTCGATCAAAAGACTTCTATCAAATGTTTTTCTATCATTTGTCTTTCGATCGAATTTCCGCCACCCTTGATAGTGATCCACCACAGCACAAAAATAATTTGAAACCTCTCTTTGATACCAATGAAACATTGAAGTCTCCAAGAGAAATATTGTGATGATGAAATAATTCATAATATCGCTAAGAAATCACGGATATAACAGTCTATAGTCATTCAACTACATATAGGTCCTAGGAAATTGATTCCAGGTAAAGTTATTGAGATCAGGATTCTCCTAACAGTTATATCGTCGGAACTCAAGAAGGAGTAGTCTACAGAAGAGGAAGCCAACTGGATCTTTGCCAACTACTATCGATCATCATCCATCACCTTCACCTGTTTCTGACTCTTCAAGGCATGAGAAGAAATCAAGTACCACTCAGCCACTTGTAGAAAATTCGGAGTTAGTACGAGATGATCCTATTCCAGGTACTTCTGGAAAATCATCAAGGGGGAATACGAGCAAGAAGTTCCAGAATAATTCTAGAAATTCTTCTAGTCGATCTCGGTCTATTGAATCATCCATGTGCCCTTCTAATTCATTCAGGATCTCCCATTCTAAGTCGCCTAGAATGTACCCTTCTAGTGTGAGTAGGTATGTACATACAGCGCGTCGTCTCCACGAAGGTCTGGCTTTGTTACCGATAAGACAAATGATTTCAAACGATCTTCAAGAGGCAGACAGTTGAAACAGAATACGAAGGTTGAAGACCCTGATAGCACATAACGTCCAAGGGACGTCCCTATTTGGTACAATTCAAGTCCGAATGTCCCGGACCAAAAATAAGTGTCCTTGGGACGTCCCATCCCGTACATCTCATGCAATGTCCGAGTAAGGACGTCCACGGAATGTCCCAGCTGGTACATCATTTCAAATGTCCTAGAAATAGCATCCCTTAGACGTCCCACGTGGTAAATATTGTAGAATGTCCATGCAAGGACGTCCTTGGTATGTCCCTGATGGGATATGATTTCAAACGTTTCTTTAGGGACATCCATCGGATTTCCCGAGTAGTAAATATTCTGGCTTCACTTCAGATCTCATATAATGTCCCTTCTAGACAACCATGAAATGTCCCTGATAGTACATTCCTCCAAATATCTCTGCACAGACGCCCTTAATATTTCCAGGATCGTATAAAAGTCGAAATGTCCCTTAGGGATATCCGTCGGATGTCCCAATTGGTACATAAACTGTACTTATCCAAGCCGACGAATGATTGCTCGCAGGCTATAAATACTCCCGTCAATGTCCTTCACGTAACCTTGAGGAACTTTTTCAGGATCTATTGGGAACCATCTACAGACCATCAACTCAACTGGATGTCCTCATCAGTTATGCAAGATCTGGTCCTAGAGGGACTCAGAAAAATACAAATTCAAGAATAATTCGCACGTCCCTGGGAAATCTTATGGACATCCAATTGATATCCCTCAGCGTTGCTGAAAGGTTGTCCTCGATAGTTGTCCCAGGGACATCCCTCAAGGACGTCCCTAGTTGGTCCTCAAGTGGGACATTTGTGCGTCCCACAGACGTCTAATGGACGTCCACGGTACCAAATTCGAACGTCCTATGGACGTCCTGAATGTTCCGACAGGACGTCCTAAGGATATCCATGGGACATAATTGTGTTATTTGGGGACTTCGTTATGAAAGTCATGGAAACCATCCATCCATCCTGAAGGGGTCCAGATTTTTTCAAAGAAAAAACAGAATGACTAGTTTCGGCTCAAACAGCCATCTTCAGCCACAATACACAGATATTTAGTTTACAAGGATAATAAGATATTGAGAAACAAACATACCTATAAGGCCACGTGGAAATCACGTTATGAAATGATGTTCCACTGTAGATTTATCGTTTTTGGAGGGCATGTCATACATTGATTGATCAGTATGTATAATGCAATTAGAATTCATTTTTGTCATTAAATAGTCAAGGTAGCCGTGCGAACAGAGTGTCTTTATTCTAATCCACATTCGCTTGCCGGTCGTGTGTTCGATTCCCATCGACTGCAGAAATTTTTCTGATGGCCCAAGAAAGTCTTTGGGATCACACGTTAAAAGGTAAGGCCCCCGTCATTCCTTGCTCGCACAAGACTCTCGAAGACTTCTGAGGGAGTTGCTCGCAAGGGGGCAACCGAATGACGAATAGAATATCTCTCTCAGTATTATTCACAAAATATCATCACATGATACGTTCCTCTGTTAAAACTAGGTGAACAATATCCATGTACTCACATGCCCAAGGTCCATATTTCTTCAACAAAGAAGTTTGCTCATTTGGAATGAACAGTGGTGCCAATAGAGCTCTGCACGTCTGAAGAAAACTCCACATTGAATCCAAGAGGAACAGGAGGAGAACCACGAATCCAACTGTTGCCAAGGGAAATGTGTATGGTCCCCATACTTCTTCCTATAAAAAGAATGTTTATATAGGCTTTTAATGATTATTGAATTGTGGATTGTTCAGATTATTGAATTAACATGATGGCCCATCCAGCAGTAACCAATCAAAAGGATGATGGCCATGACGTCACGCTGCAAATTGTTTTTTATCTCTTGGATATTCCTATGATGTTCGTGCAAACCTTTCAAGCATCGCATTTTCATTTCCTTTCATTGAAATCAACTCAATTTGTTCACATGCAGGATAATATTATTATGATTGTTTCACTTAAGCGGAAACCAATCTTGAACTGTTTTCGTTTTCCGAAGATGCTGTGATTGAATCCAATTTTCTATTCAGATGGTTGATCAACCTGAATGCACAACCAGAAATATGGAACTATTCTCCATTGGAAGTTTGTTTTTGAACACGGTCTTGACCTTTTCACCGTGTCGGTATTTTTGGCAAAATTACCGTGTACCATTACCTTGTAGTTGGCAAAACTGTTGTATCTGTTATCGAACACAAAATTGAGAATTGAAGTGATTAATTGGTACCTATATGATTTGAATTTTAGCTGCGGAGATTATTTATTGCTGAAGGTTAGGAATTGAGGAGTTGAATATTCATCTGCTTTCATATTCATATGGCATTGGCATAATTCTTTATGACTATCATGGACTATAATAAGATGATGACTCTAATCGATATCGATATTGCCAGCTTTTAAATCACAAGAAGAGAAAAAGTTGAGAGAACAAGTTGAGTATACAGGGTGTTTCCTAACTACGGTTCCTAACTGCAGGGGGTTATTTTGTTAGGTCATATTAAGAAGAAAAGTTTCAATGAACATATGTCCGGAGCTGCTTCGTTTCTGAGATACAGGGCATTGCAATCAAGGAAAAAAAAAGCCGGTAATTATAGAATATCATGCATACCCTGGAACCGATTTGGTTGAAATTTGGTACTTTTATTTGTCAAATTTCCTAAAATTTCAGCATATCAAGTGTCAATTAAATATTTTGCGGGAATAATGAAAAACTCATTTCTCCAATGCAGGTGTTTATGATATGCAATACAGTGACTTTCATTTTTTTTCTCGAAAACGAAGCTGGATATAAAGAAAATGCAAGAGACCAATTAATTGTATTTTGAGTTGCTCAATCTAAACAAAATACAAATTTGAAAAGTTAGTGGGGTACTTTTTTTCACAATATTATTGGCTGTGGTGCCCACTGAGACGCCACTGGCCCCAATTATTTCAATATTAATTGGACAAAATAAGCGCCTTATTAGTTCAAATGAAAGTACTGAATTTCAAAAGAATTTTATGATTACCGTCTTTTTTCTTCAATTTCAACGCCCTGTATCTCAGAAACGAAGCAACTCCGGACATATGTTAATAGGAACTTTTCTTCCTAAAATGACCTAACGAATCACCACCTGCAGTTAGGAACCGTAGATAGAAAACACCCTGTATAGAGTAGGAAATACATAAACATGAAAATGTGATATAGGTATGCATACATATAATGAATATTCTCGATTATATTGTTATAAGACTGATTTCCTCATACCGAGAAAAAATTATACCAAAAACAAGTATCATTGATCCAGCTTTCGTCAATCCCAAATGGCAATCATAGAACCCCATACAAATTCAACACACATAATTATAATAATAATAATGATGACGATAATAATGATAATAACAATAATGATAGTATCTATGAAAATGATATTGAAAATAACACAGGCTGTGGGGAGTCACTGCGAAGCAATGTTTTCAACAAACCGGGTGTACATTCGTTCTCGAAACGTCCAAAACTAAGTGAAAATTCGATATTTTTTCTATGTACCTTTAATTCTCTCCTCCAGAGCTTTTTCAATACAAATTGTCACTGACAAACTAGTGAATTTTTCCCTTAGGCTCTATGATAGGAGAATTCTTCAAACGCAGTGACATTTTGGGGCAAATCATCTGATTTGTCCTTACCACACGTATATTGAAATAATATTTATATTTTTATATAGAAACGAGGTGAGAAAATCTCGAAAACTCTGGAATAATGGAAAATAATATGATAGTTATTTATGTAGCAAGGGCGTAAAGTAGGCGTTTATGGCCTGAGGCGTGAATAATGGCCCGATGGCGCTAGCTTCAAGAGAAGCGTAATGTTCATGCATGATTTTCGTATGAAAATTATCATACGAATATTGCAATCATCGTAATAGTGAAACTCTTTGATCTCTAGAAGTATCTACCTACCTAATCTTGACGTTGTCAAGCAAGCAGATGGTTGTTAACTATTAGTGATAATACTAATAGCAAGACTAAGGAATCGGATGAAGAAGAAGTTTATGATATACTGCTGGATATATTACAATCTAGGAAAATGATCATGGTTTTTCATGGATTGATATGTGGCTATAAGGAAACTGAGAACAGCGGGCATAAAGTGCATAAATTCATTTAGAAAGGAAACCCTGTTTTTGAATTAGTTTGATCGTGGAAGGGGAAGGGGCTTAGTTTTGATGGTCACAGTATATTTTGAACACAATGTATGGAAATATCATATTATGGTGGTGTCAAATAATGTAGAAAGGATTGAACGAGATTTACAGAATGAAGATAAAAGTTCATATAATTATAATCAGATTTACATACCTATGTTGATAACAATGAATGATAACAACAGAAGTTGAGGCCATTTTTTTTGACAACTAAGTGAAGTTGAAGAATATAGGTACTTCTCTCAACAGAAGTGATCATTCATCATCGTCTACTTTTTAAAAGTTTAAATATTATTGATTTGAGTATGCCCACTTGGGAGAGCAACAAAACACTTTCTTTTGAGTCATTAACACCTAGTTGTACCATCATCGTGATTATTTTTATCAGTTATGACCTTGCCCAACTATATGAGTTTTACGACAGTACCCGTTACTTTACGATTAGCAGAATAGCGCAATATTGTAATCAACATTTATTGAGATATGTATATGGAAACTCATGTCTGAACAGAGTGATTTCATGGAAAAACTATAAATTGGGAGCTTGTGGCAAAGCTGAATTGTGAGGAAAATGTGAATGAATATTTCTATGGAAATGTCATTCCCAACCATGGGGTTATTTGGACAACGAAAAAAAGATATTATGCAAAGTTAGCCATGATTCAACACTTAGATGGTTTTGTTGTGGTAAAGATGAAACAATGTTATGGTAACAACTTTATTGTCGGTATGTTTTCAAGGTTGGATCGGACTTCTCCAACTGACATCGAGAGAAAATAAGTTTTCCACAATTTTACTTGTGTTGAAGAAGTGGACACACTAAAGTACTGTTCATTTCATATCTCGTTACAAAATCAACATATCGAGAATTTGATGTGATGAATAAACTTGATGATAATCTAGGATAGAAGTCCATACCTTGATGATGTTCATTCGAAATCTGTATTCTGTATTCTATGTTAACGAGAATGAAGTGTTTTTATACAATTCAGTGGTACAAGAACCTGAAAAATAGTCAATATACCTACCTATATCTACTATACGTTTTGTTGTTGAACCAAATATTGATGCTGTCTATACACAATCTGAGTGAAGGGATGAAAATGATAGTTAACATACCACTTATTTTGTTGTCAGACTGAAAACTGGTTGATAACACATTTTCTTGATCGAATCAACAATTCCATTCGTATGGTTTCTGAACATATTCGACTATTGTTCGCTGGTTGATATAATTATTGAACTAGATAGGCCAATTTTCATATGATCTTTTTGGTTGATTCGACCCATCAATTTCTTTGAGTATATCTTTCGGAAAATTATGTGAGAGAACAGAAGATACTAATGTTACTAAACAACCTAACCTGACTCGGCCTCAATGAACCTTCTTTCCGTACTTTCAGGGAATGCCTGAAACTATTAGGCAAACAGTGTACGAAATTTAGAGTAACGCTGTTTGGAGCAATACGTGAAATTACTAGGCATTTCAACATTTTATAAAACAGTTTTACCAACCATATTTTTTTATGACTTTTCTCAGCTGATCCACCAATCATAAACCATTTTCAGATTGAAGAAAACTGTTTTGTTAACAACTATGAAGCTGCCCCCACGATAATCGCTGTCGAAACTGTCTAATTGACGGCAGGCTACTGCTATACACCCCAAATACTACAAAATATCGAAATTTCATTTTTTCGGAAACTGATGCATTGTTTTGCCACTCATCTCTCCGACTAAAATTGTCGGCTTACAGAAGATTTTTGTTCACTTATATCGCGACTTATATAATGTACTTTGTTATTGTATGTATTCACATAAACTGGTCATCGATTTTACGAAAGGTCGGTCCTTCAACACGTTATGTTTTGTGTAGACTTCCTTACTGACTCCATACGCCCCCTTAGAAGTAGTTTTTTCATCTTTCTTGCATTTGATTCAGACCAGGAAAGAGTCCCTCTTATCCTGATATCTATCATGAAAAAAAAAAAAACGAAATGAAAACGGTATTGGAGTTTGATGCGAACATCCCTTCTGCCCCGAATAAGTTTTAGGAATACATTCTGAGAATTGGAAAAATCGAAAGATACTAATAAATATCAAAAACTTGAGAAGAGTTAATTTGGTCATAATGTTGACATTTTCTCTAGTTTATGGACAATCTCGGTCTTTTGACCTTTGATTGATCACCTGGGTCATAATCAACTGCATTTCGAAGAAGCTGATTCTCACGAACCTCAGCTTTTTCGAGTCTAGTTTTCTAATGACGGACACGATTGAAGTGAGTTTCAGATCCCTGGAGATCTGATCATTCCGAACATACCAAGGAGATCCTGTCACCATTCTCGCGATTTTTTTTGTAATATTTGTAATCTGGTGATATGAGATTTAGATGTGTGGCCCCAGACTACCGAGGCATACAGTAAAATTGGCCGGATCTCCATGATGTAAATATTCAATTTTTGTCCCAAACCCAATTTACTTCGTCTGTTTAGAAATGGATACAGGGCTTCA